GATCTCTATCTGGCCCTAGGCACCATCTGGGGAAGAGAGATGTGCTGAGAGCAGGGATTTGGGTCCAGCAGAGAAAGGCCCAGTGGCTGGGCGCTGAAAGCTGGAGGATGAGGATCACAGAATCACAGACAATGAGGGTGGGAAGGGACCTCAGCAGGTCACATCTCATCCAACCCCCTGCTCCAAGCAGAACCAGCCCCAACTACATCATCCCAACCAGGGCTTTGTCTAGCTGGGTCTTGAAAAACCTCCAAGGATGGAGATTGCACCGCCTCTCTGGGGAGCCTGTTCCAGTGGTTTACTAGCCTCTTAGTGAGAAAATTCTTCCTAATTTCTGACTTAAACATCCCTTGTTGCAACTTGAAATTCAGAGCAGCAAGAAGGTCCAGTGTGTAAGAGGCCAGGCGAGAACCCTTAGCACAGCTTACCGAGGCCGAAAGGGGGATGCTCCCTTACTGGAAATAGTTTCATAGTTTCATAGTTGGTCGGGTCAGAAGGGACCTGAGCACATCATCAAGTCTGACCCCCTGCCATGGCAGGAAAAAGTGCTGGGGTCAAAGGACCCCAGCAAGGTGTTCATCCAACCTCCTATTAAAGACCCCCAGGGTAGAAGCCAGCACCACTTCCCTTGGAAGTTGGTTCCAGATCCTAGCCACCCTGACAGTGAAGTAGCGCCTCCTGATGTCTATCCTAAATCTATGCTCTGATGTCTAGTCTGAATCTACCCTCCTCAGCTTGTGACTGTTATTTCTAGTCACTCCTGGGAGTGCTTGGGAGAACAGGGACTCCCCCAATGCCTGTTGGTCCCCTCTGACTAGTTTGCAAATGGCCACCAAGTTCCTTCTTGGCCTTCTCTTGTGGAGGCTGAACAGGTCCAGGTCCCATCGCCTCTCCTCCTAGGGCCTGCCCTGCTGCCCCCGATCATGCGAGTGGCCTCCTCTGGACCCTCTCAATGCTGTCCACATCCCTCCTGAAGTGCAGTGCCCAGAACTGGACATGGTACTCCAGCTGCGGTGTCGCATAGAGGGGGAGGATCACCTCCTTGGACCTGCTCATGATGCATCTGTGGATGCACGACAAGGTGCGGTTGGCCTTACTGTCCGTGTCCTGACATTGGTGGCCCATGTTCATCTTGGAATCAGTAATGACACCAAGATCCTTTTCTGCCTCTGCACTGACGAGAAGGGAGGTCCCCAGCCTGTAGGTCTGCTGCTGGTTCTTCCCCCCCAGGTGCAGCACCTTGCACTTGTCAGTGTTGAAACCCATCCTGTTCTCATCCGCCCACCCCCGGAACCCATCTAGGTCTGATTGCAGCCTGTTCCTTCCTACTAGTGTAGCCACTTCCCCCCATATCTTAGTGTCGTCTGTGAATTTGAACAGGGTGCTTTTCACCCCCTCGTCCAAGTTGCTGATGAAGATGTTGAACAGTGCGGGCCCAAGGACCGAGCCCTGCAGAACCGCACTGCCTGCATCCCTCCAGGTCAAAAATGTCTGTATCTAGATTAGAAACACACCCACAGCATTTGTGGAAGCAGAACCTCAGCTGTCATCTTCAAACCAGGTGAAGCAGTAATTGTCACAGCCCGCATTATGCAGGGGTTCAGTCTAGATTGTGATGGAGGTTGTGTCTCTTGTACTGGATGTGTGGGAATGTCTTACACCCACCAGTTCCCCCAGGTGGGGTGAGTGATGTGTGGGCACACGCGTGTGCTGCCTTCTGAGGGCCTGACTCGTTGCAGCAGTGTGGACAGGAACTACAACTGCAGACCGTGCCAGGGGACACTGACCGTGTGATTCTCCCTGGAGATGTTTCTTCTTGTTCCAGGAAACCTTCCTGAGTCCTCTCCAGAGAGATCCCGCATCCTCCACGCTCTCCTCCTGCTGCTGAGCCTTCTCCTCGCGGCTTCTCTTGGTGGAGTCACGGCCACGTGTAAGTCCAGCACCAGTCTCAAACACAACTTTGATGTGAACTTTTGTGACTCAAAACTAGTTCACTGGATGTCAGTAAATGTAGAAAAACGAGTGTGGTGGGGCACTGTTGGTGCCTGCCACTTTAAGACTGAAGCTAAGCAGCCAGCAGGTGCTTGATTAAGGCAGCCATTTTAGATCCCTGGCTGCCTATATAAAGAGGTCAGTTCCCTGCTGGCTGGGAATGCAGCAACATTGCCTGGCTGTGAGAGTTTGTGTATCATCCTGGAGGTAAGGGAGGAGCTGTAGTGGATGGATTGGAGGCTCCTGGGCCTGGGCATGACCTAAAACTGCACCCTGCCCGGAGTGGGTGGCCTGGTGGGGCTCTCAGTGGTGCAGGAGCCCCCAGGAAATGCCAGGCCAGTTACCCACCCGGTGAAAGGTGGGTTGTGGTGCCTTAACTGTAGCCTCCACCTTTGGGTGGGTTGTGTGACACCGGAGGCAGTTGGGGCCAGGCATGGCTGTGGCCACCTGAGCCTTGTGGAGGTGCAAGACCCTGAGAGGGAAAGTTGGGGGCCAGGCATGTCTAAGGCCACCAGAGCCCTGTGGGGTGTGAGACCCCGAGGAGGAAGATTGGGGGCCAGGCACAGAGGTAGCCACCTGAACCCACCAGGGAGTGAAGCCCCATGGCCCCCAAGTGAAGGGGGAGGCGTGGAGCCCCTAGTGAAGGGGCGCAGACCTAGGTAGGTCTTTGGATGCCTGAAGCTGAAGTTTGGGCCAGAGGATGAGTAGATGGGGCTCAGCCCATGAGAGAGGGGCAATTCCTGGCCCCAGTAAGTCCTCCACTGCTGGGAGGCCGAGCATGGCCAAAAGTAAAATCCTAAGTAGCACCACCACCTGCTGCTCCTGTGAGACCCTGGAGCACCAGTTGTGGTGTGAAGTACCCCAGCTCCCACATCCAGAAAGGGGGACCTGAGAGTGCGAGAGCGGGGCTGGTGAGAGAGGCTGGAGGTAGAGTACCCCCTCTACTGGTCCATACTGGGGCCAGGACCAGGAAGGTCAAAAGGGCCAGGGGTCCACCATGAGGGACGTCCGGAGCAGAAGGCCTGGGGTCCCGCCTGGCCTTGGAGGTGAGGCCAGGGCCTGTGTGGCCAAAGGTGCTGGGGGGACCATGCTCGAGAGGGGAGATAGCTACAGGGAGCTCGGCAGCCTGAATGATGGCAGAGTAGGCCGCCTGAGGGGAGGGATTAAAGTGGGGTCCTGATAGGAGGATTCTGGAGCCCAGTGTGGGGCTGGTGTGACTAACAGCTGGATGCCATCTGCAAGGCATGGGCTGCAGTGTAGGGGAGGTTTGGCACCACAGATAGCACCCCCTGGCATCAGGGCATAAAATTGGCAGCCTCCCACTTAATGAACATCCTAATTAATAAGAATAAGGTGTGGCAGGTGAGTCAGGTGGGAGGCATGCCCAAAGGCAAGTGGGGAACCTAGCACTGTGGCTAGGCGGGGATCCACTTTGCCACACCTAGATATATAAAAAGAGCAACTGGGCACAAGCTGGAGCAATCAACCCTCAGGAAACACCAAAATTACCACTGCCCAGCCCCGCTGTGCTCTGCTGCTTTGCCTTGTCAGTGCAAATGGAATTGGGCCAAAAATGAGGTGTAGATCCAAAGATTTCAGGCCAGATTGTGAACACTGGGGAAAGTCCCTGTCAAGGGAAAAGGTCCCTTGGAAGGGAGTGCCCCAGAACCAGAACCATTGCGCTCATCAGATATCACTATGAAAACACCAGTTCCAGTAAATGTGCAGGACATTTAGCAGGGGGTGGTCCACACTGCCGGCAGCACCAGCACACTGCGGGGAAACTCTTCCAGCCTTGTTACATGAGGTGCATTCAGTGGGTCTTTTCTGGTCATAATTGCTGTGCATCTCATCTTCCTGCGTCTCCTCCATAACTTAACACTTCCCCCCGTCCTGAACAGACGTGATTGCTGCGGTGTTTGGTGATACCTTTGTGGGCTCCATAAATATTGTGGATGGAAATGTTCTTGGTCCTAGGAGATGTCTGCTTTAGAGAAGAAAGACGCAGAGGATAGAAAAAGGCTTCTGCTCATTCTGTGCTCCCAGCATCCTAGTCTAGCCGTGCAGTCAAAGCTAAGGTCCTCACTATGGAGGAAACCTGTCCCAGCCTCCTCCTCTGCTGGGGGTAGTCTGTCCCTCCTCTCTCTCGCTCATGTGTCTATCACTCCAGTTGCTAAGCAGCCCACTCTGCCTAGGTGCCTGAGGACAGGTAAGGGGGCGGGAACTCAACCCCTCCCTTGTTTTAAGCACTGACCTCATGGCATGCAGGTAGGGGCTTGAGACATGTCACTGCTGTAGGGGATGATGCTGTAGCAGTGATGCTTCTCAAGCTGGTTGGTTGGCCTCAAACAACACCTGCCCTACTAATTCTGTTACAAAGCAGCCATGTGGTCTGGAGGAAGGGAGACTTCTTCAACGCCTCTGCTCCTCTGTATTTGGGACATAACCTGTTCCACGTCCCCCTGTCCCTGAAGAAGTTGGCCCTGCAGCACCCTGTAGATGTAGCTG